CGGTACACCTCGCCGTCCACGAACAGCTCCACCGTCGGGAAGCGGATGTTGATCGCGTAGTGATGCCACTCGTTGTCACACACCTTCATACACACGTATAAAATTGAAATACATTTCAGTAAAATCTCAAAACAATGTAGAAGTTGCGTTTTGGGCTAACAAATACCTCCGGTATCTTCCAGCGCCACTCTGCGGGGCGGAAGATGTTGAGGTCTCCCTCGCCGAAGTCGCGGCGCAGCAGCAGGATCAGCCGGCAGTTGCGCACGAACAGCGCGTAGTGGTGACGGTTCATCTCTGAAAATTTCACGCAAAGAGAAATTACATGATGTTTGTAAAATCACTGCTACAAACAATTGTAACAGTAATTTTGCAGCATATGTATGTATACTGACTGTGGTCGTCAGCGAGGCAGAGCACGTGCTCCTTGCGGTGCTTGTCCTGGTCGGGGCGCGGCGCGTGCCGCAGCCAGGTGGAGATGGCGAAGCTGCTGCCCAGCGAGTGGCCCAGCACGCTCTCCGGCACCACCGCCGACGTCGTCTCTCCATCGAACTCGAACATCTCCTCGCCGTCGTGTCCTGGGATATCGTATACTTTAAGTAATTTTGCGATTTGATTTTATAAGTGGTTAACTTAAGTAGAAATGGTTAATACCTGATTCTGGTTTCAAGGACTTGGCCCACTCGTTGCCGGCTCCTGGGCTCGGCAGTAAATCGATAGTTTTCGGGTCCAGACCTGAAATCAATACGTCGATTGTTGTACATCATACACAAGTTTGTTTGCCAAAGATTTAAGAAAAGCTTTCTATAGTACTTCGTATTTCTATGAGTACTGACCGCATATGGCGCGCTGCGAGTGCAGCGAGTAGGTGTCGCGGTCGCAGGCGGCGCCGGCGCGCGAGGCCCGCAGCGACACGAGCGCCTGGATGCGGGTGACGGCCGGGCAGCGCTCGTCGCTGGAGCACGCCTCCAGCCGCGCGCCCGGGAACAGCGCCAGCGGGCCCGACCCCGGCGCGTAGTCCACGCGTTCGGCCAGACCTAGGTAAACATCATTGCAGACTATTCAATCCACAGTTTAAAAAAATTCACGCAGTTCTAGATCAAAAGAATTGTGCTGTAATTCATATTCCATATTCCATGCTTTGAATCTGTAGTAAAACGGCTATGAGACTATAACGTCATTACGTTAATTATCAAAAGTCATCTAACTCTTATGTGATATGTGGTTTTGTTCATTCATTTGTTTCAACTCACCCTTCCATCCTGCGCGGCAAGGCTTGTTAACCTTGATGGTGACCATGACGGGCGCGGACTGCATCATGCCGCAGTCGTACGCCACCACTGACAGGATGTGGTTGTGGGACTTCTCGTAATCCAGAGGCTCCGTGTTGCGGATCACACCTAGGCACAATACAATGTCAGTGATCAGGAGTTAGGGGGTTCCAGAGTTTCCTAGCGCCCATTTAATTTACCTTCGTTATCGATAGTGAAAGGCTGGTTGTTGTCGTCCAGGATCTCGTACTTGCAGACGTCTCCGTAGTGCGGCGTGCAGTCTCTATCCGTGGCTTCCACTCGCACCAGCTCCTCGTACATCTTGCCCTCGTCCACGCTGCGCACGTACGCTGCCTGGGTGAACACCGGCGCGAACTCGTTCACATCCGACACCGTGATGTGGACAGGAACGCTGAGGAAGAAGAAACCCTTAATATTAGACTAAAATTGAAAAAACATGAAATTATTTAATTAACACATCAACATTATGAAATCAACGGAAGCTACAATTTCAGGATAAGAAGAATGCCGTTACAGAGTAGAGTTGACCAAAATATCTTAGGCTGCCAGCAGAGAGTGGCATGAGAAAGATCAGAGGTCATGTATTAACCCTAATAGTGTAATTCTTCGAGCAGGGTCCAAGTTGACATAACACGGATCACGCCAGATGTTCGGGTGGTACAATCCGAATGCCGTGTGGTATACTCACGTGTTGGAGTAGGAGCCGTCGCAGCCGACAGCGGCGATGTCGAACTTGTAGTTGCGTCGTTTCTCGCAGTTGAGGGGGTATCGCACGCGCAGCCTTGCCTCGTTCTCGTCTATCACCATGATCTGGAAACATTAAAAGCTACTTAGTGATTTTTAATGTTTCAAATTAGTAAACATATATGTGATCTTTTACTAAAATATTGGTTTGTATTATAAACCTTGGTATGAAATTTTAAGTCCAAAATTAAATTAATTTGGGATAAACTATGCAAATGAAAAGAGAGCGCATATAAAATAATCAATGGGGAATAAATAGCAATGCGGGAGTTTTGAAAATATTTACGATGCCATTGGGCGGGTGCTGTGGAGCGCTAGATTTAGCATTTAAAGCGCTTTACTGCTTAATTCCAACGTTAAGTAATAAATGGCGCGCTGTTCATGTTTTTCAATTATGTTTTTTCGTTTCCCAAAGTGTTTCCATTACGGAAATTAGCTGTTGCGGGATCGCGTTGCCTTTTGTTTGGTTACTGCTTTATATCCGAATCTCATTTATAAAGAATCCAATTAATATAACAGGTATTTTTAAAATAAATGTATAACTATTAACAAAATTATCTTATTAATCTTACTAATATTATAAATGCGAGAGTTTCGATCGATTAATGGATGTTTGTTAATGTTTGTGCCCTGAACTGCTGAATGGGGCTAGATGAAATTTGGCATAGATGTAGAGGATAGTGTGGAAGCACACAAGCTACTTTTGTATCTTAAAATTAAACGCGGACGGAGTCGCGGGTGAATGCTAGTATTTCATAATTTTGTCACACGTGGCTTGGTATACCTTCAGCCTTCGTTTATCGAGACGGACCGTTAACTTTTATTGAAAAAAAGAAATTTAAAACTAAAGTCGGTCGTTATAAATATAATCCGTGAGAGCGATATCCGGCGACGACCATTAGCTTTATTGCAGACTCTAGTTCACATTTGGACGCTTTTTTTATATCTGGTAATAATTTATAGTACAAAATATATATTTTATCAAATTAGAACTTATAAAGAAAAGGAAGTAAGAGTTATGTAGCTGCTTACGACACATGTGTGGCCAGGAATTAGTTTTGTACATCTGAACTAAGGGCGTGGTTGCATTTACCTGGTTGCGACATACAACATTGTCAACCCTATATAGATTGCATTCAATTGTAAATACAATTGCAAATACGCAAATGCGTTGATTCTCGCGTCGCTTCACTCGTACAAGTTGTGCAATAGCCTCCGGCAGTTGAAATGCAAACACAACCTGTTCGTATGTTCAACCGATCTCCCGCGCCCCCCCCCCCCGCGACCCCTCGTGTCACATTCGTTTACAGTTTACACATTCAAGCGTATGTGATTTCATACAAATGTCGTTTATTTAAACTTTCCAAAGAGTTTATGGAATTCAGAAAATATTCAATGCGCTAGATACATTCTTGGCTTTAACCGTAGCAGTTATTTATAACTACAAAATTGATAGACATTATTTTAACGTAAGGTTCCATTGCAACATGTTTTTATTCAAGTCTGTTAACGGTGTAAACCCACGATTATATTGAGGATTCGACAATGTATACGGCAACCGTACAGCAAAATCGTGGAAGAAGTTACTAGTCAAGCTGTAGATTACTTATTACAAGCTTTTGCCCGCGATTCCGAACGCGTGGAATTAAAAAACCAAAGATCCGTTTGGCCATTTAAGCAACAAACTCTAACAAACATCCTTCTAAACTTTCGCATTAAGATAAGATACTAACCTCGAAAGGTGCCTCCCCATGGTGTTTATTGTTGAGGATGAGGAAGGAGCAGAGAGGGCCACGTGCGCGGATCGCGGGCGTCACTTCCACCAGGGTTTCATTCTCCCGGATCAGCCCGTGGTATCCTTCCTCCGGTTCCGCCAACTCCAGGTAGGGGACATCTGCAACACAACAATTATGTCTATAACCAAACTGCTTGGCATCCCGAAATATCTTGCTGAGAAACGAAGTCGGTATATGCTTGTGAAAGTAGACCAATATATATAATAATATCTTACAGTGGAAACCTATCTAAATTATTAATTTTGTGTAAGAATATTACCTTAGAGACGCCATTATATCGTCGTGGGAATTAACTTAGAATAATTACTCGTATATTTAAGTGTAATACATAATATTAAGTGTTAAGGGAATACCACAAAGCACTTGAAGTGACTGTCATTAATATTTGATGGTACACTTTACGAATTATCGCTACATATTAGAAATTCAAACAATTTCACTAAGACACTATAGCGCTAAAATGTTACTCTCAAAATATATATAAGATATTATAAAACTATATACAATACTTACAAAATATTTTATTTCAAGATAAAAGCAAATAAAACGCTTTCAAAAGCGATAGTAATCGCAAATCCGTGTCAAAAATCGACATTTCTAGAATAAGGCGTGACGTCACCGGTGCGCTCAATCGACCTGAGGGAACAATCATTTTGTGTTACGTTTTATTTCACGAATATTTAAAAAACAATTCTAGTTATTTTCAGACTTTCAATGTAAAAATCTGTTTAGAATATTTATATAAACAGAAATATGCTTGTCAGTTATTGCATTGCGCTGCGTCGAGTGCAAGATATGCAAATGCGGGTGCGAGGAGAGATATGCTGACGTTTATTTAGAGTTCAATTTACATGATAACAGCTCGTAGCTTGCAACTCGCAGCGACATACATCTACAACGATTCCAGCCGTTTCATTGTTTCTATTTAAGTGGATAAACGTTATTTATTCACAGCAATTGTTATTTAAACACTATGCAGTAATAAAAGTTATATTACTGATCTTTTCTTATTTCTTAATAATATTGTAAATCGCGAAAGTTTAGACAGATGGATGTTTGTTGCTTCATATCTCCAGAATGACTCTACTTATCGAGTTTTTTTTATCATTATCCGCAGACGAAGTCGCAGACAGCTACTATATACTAAAAATTTGTGGTCGTTAAGTCAAAATTCATTTGTTAACGTTTATTTGTTTATTTTAGTAGCACGAATTGCTTTTTATAAAAATATCTTATTCTATACACAAGAACGTATGAAATTACACGAGAACCCCCTTAAGTTACGACTACCGGCAAGGAGGGACATTAGGCCGCCATTACGTAGCGCCGCCATCTTGATGTCGGATTATACTTGGGTCTATTTAACGGTTTATTGCGTGCGGCTGCGGTCTTAGACGTACATTCACACTAATGGCTGATGGGAGCTAGAAATGAAACAGCATTAGAATATAAGATATTTATACGTTTTGATATATGATTATAGTTATCTTAATCTAATAAATATGACATTTTAAACAAGTAATAAAGGTGATGTAGACAATTTAATTTGCTACCTTCTGTTGTCAGCACAAAAAGCTTAGCGAAGTGTTAGTGCAGTGAGGGAAAAATTAGGCTAAGAGACAAGCAACGTCGGTTGAAGTTGATTGCTTGCTCCACTCCGCCAACTCATAAAAAATGAAGGCTTTCACGTAATGGATGGAAAGCTTTGGAACGGAACGGGGTGCGAGAGTTGCTATTTGTAAAACTTTGACAGAAAAAATCTGAAAAAAAATTGCAATGTAAGAGAACGTAAACTGCAATTTATGTTGGAATAAACGAAGGTAATTCGTCAAATCAAATATAAATGCTTGATATTAGAGTCTAGGCACACCTTTGACCAACATATCGCACAACCGTTTAGTCTCGCCATTTCTATTAGCTTATATGGAGGTGCGCACATTACTCGATTTTTAATTATGCAACTAAACATCGACAATCGCAAAATGTTGTGCGATCGTCGGTTGTTTCGCAACAAATTCAACTGTTTAGTTGCACAACTAAAAATCGAGTTGTTTGCCCACCTCCATATATGCTCACAGGAATGGCGAGACTACAGTTGTGTGACAGTTTAGTCAAAGGTGTGCATATGATCTAAAGACAGAATATAGTCAATATTACGAATAACATTAATTGGTATTCCCAAAAGGATTAGGGAACTTGTAATTTAAGTTTGATTAAAGCGTGCAAGTAATTGTAGTTTATTGTGTGCTTATCAAGCGCAAAGACGGTGTTAGTTCGCAATTTAGAAACTCAAGCTGCGCGTTCAGATCAGTAATTTGTACTAAGGTCACACTATTTCAAACTGCAATTATAAAGTACTACAAATATTACATTATTTTTAATATTTTACTAACTAGGGCGAAACATTAAGTACCCAGCTACTCGACTTTGTTATTCAAGGAAGGTTTTCTTGTTACAAAACTTCAGCATACTAATAAACTATTTAAATTAGCAAAGAACATCCCGCAATCATTTTGAGTTACTTTAATACTAAGGTAATCCCCCGGCGCCGCTCGGAGTCCGCTATGTAGAGAATATGCTGCGCTTTCTCGACCTAATCAAAAAGATACCTCGAGAATAATCCCCTCGGATATTGTAAAAGAAAATAGAGCAAAAGGAATATGAACTATATTCAGTTGAACTTTAAGAGCGCACACTTTTGACTAAACTATCGCACAACCGTTGTGCCATTGTCGATTGTTTCGCAGCCAATTCAACTGTTTAGTTGCACAGCTAAAAATCGAGTAGTGTGCGCATCACATAAACTCATAGGAATCAAAGCAGGACTAAACAGTTGGACGATGATCCCGTGTTCCTGTTCCCGTGCGACTTCATCCAGAAAAAAATATAAAAAATTCATTTTATTGTTCACATTTGTCAAATTATCAATTGCAAATGTCAAAATGACATGACATGATGTCAAACCATGGCAACCTTGCTTCCTTGATGTTGGCAGCAACTTATGGTCTCTTTCCCACATTAGGGTTTTTATCCCAAAATATTTATCCCTAAGTTTAATGGCGTGAAAATATATAGTCTAAAGCGTGACGCAAGTGTATGGCTTTTTATTTAAAAAAGAGTTTTTTTCAAAATATGCTGTAATTGCTGACATCTTAGAAACCAAGGAAGTGTGTGTTTACGCTTTATTATAATAGTATAGACTAGAGTAGTATTATAGAGTAAAACTGTGAACGGATTCATGATCATTAGTGTCCAGCAGGGTACGTGTACTGACCACTACTTCAGCGCTTACACCTTTTTAATTGGAGTTTAACCGCCTTACTGCCGACTTGTCTAGCACTTCCTAATTGGCACTTGGACGCGTGTGTTTTTATTTATAGGGCGTTCATTTAAATAAAATAGTAAGACAAAAATATCATAGGCAGATAACAAGAAATGTGTAAGAAAGAAAATTGGTACGTTATTTCGTAACATTTTTGCTAGACATATACGTTGAGTATACATAAGTAAATGTTACAAGTGGTGGTGTACCACGAAATTTGTTTGAAACAAATCGAATGAGCATAGAAGTTGAAGATGTGCTTCTGAGAACTGCGAAATATCATTAAAAGTTTGTTCTGAACATTCGACGACTCAATAACAAATTGGAATGCTCTTCGCAAAACTCTAGCGAGGAGGATATTACATTTTATATATTTCGAGATAACCGCAATCTTGGAAATGTGAGATTTTCATTTTAATGATTTAGACACTTCTTAATACAAATATTAATTTTCTTTTTAGTCAAGCTTTGATTACTATGAGCTTATATGGAGGTGCACTACTCGATGTTAGTTGTGCAACTAAACAGTTGAATTGGCTGCGAAACAATCGACAATCGCAAAACAGTTGTGCTATACTTTAGTCAAAGGAGTGCATCCGCTCTTATAGGTTACCTTTCCCTTTCCCTTTCCATATGTATACCTTTCCCAGAACTTTTGCAAACATTTCTAGTATCATGTAGTTACAGTAAATAAAACTGTATACTATCGAGCTCAAAGAAATGGCGAATTTATTGCGACATCTGTTCCTCGTGTGTCTGTACCTTGTGGAGGAGAAATAGACTCGTTTCTCTCGAAAACTTAAACAAATTATATTAAAAGTAAAACATTCTGAGAAAATGTTTCTATATAGCTCAATATTGAGTTAAGATTACTTTGTACAATCTGTACATTTTTCCTTGAAATGAAATTATTTTAAAACAATTGCTCGTTGTCAACAGAAAGAATTTTAAAAGTGTAGTGAAAATTTTAAAGCATGAAATAACGTTGTTTGTTGGTATAAAAGTTTTCCAACAATTCAGATTCACGTAATATTTCATAGCAAAACTACTATCCGTTTAAATATTCAAACGGGGCTCGGGTAGTACATCATGCGACGGGAGAGTGGGGAGGGTTCGTACATCACGTCGGTTGAACCTCCCCCGAACGCCACACCAATAAAACTCACAAGTCCTATATTTAACGTGAAAGTCGCTTTGAGACAGTTCAGGAGTCCATCACTGTACCTTCTCTGACTCTGTGACGTCACTTGCGGTCGCTTCTAGAAATTTCCGGAGTAATTGCAGATTTACTGTAGCTTCCGAAATTGTTAGACGGAAAAGAAAATACTTCCGTATTTTAGTTCACGTTTCAATTTCGTGTTTAAAGTAGGTGGCCCAAATTAAAAAAATGTAGTTCGTGTATATTTTACTACTTTGAAATAAATTTTCTGTGAAAATTACAAATGTGTTGCATATTAAAAATTAAAAAAATCGGGATATTAAATCGAAAAAGCCAAAATAGAGAATTTATTTAAAGATTTCTGTACTAAAGTTTGGCAAGATGTCTTTCCCTCGACACGACTATCGCTAATCTTGTAAGAACTGTGTGGTCCTGCGAGCCGGATACTCAAACTGTAAGCCCCACCTTAGTCACCGCATTACCGGCTAATCTTGACAACTTACTTAAAATAAGCTTTCACTAAAACTTTATTACACTTGTATGGATTTAGAGATTGTCTTATCATTTACTCGTTTGTTTTACACAAAAACTTCACGATAATTTAGTGTATTGCAAAA